TCAACAGCACAGACTCTAAGAGCAACAATCAATAAATGGGACCTCATCAAACTAAAAAGCTTTTGTAGAGCAAAGGACACTGTCATCAGAACAAAATGACAGCCTACAGACTAGGAAAGGATCTTCACCAACCCTGAATCTGACAGAGGACCAATATCCAGAAATAAAGAAGTTAAAAAGCAACAAATGAAGGAATCCAATTAAAAAGTGAGGTACAGGGTAAATAGAGAATTCTCTGTAGAGGAATATAGAATGGCAGAGAAACACCTAAAGAACTGCTCAATGTCCTTAGCCATCAGGAAGATGCAAATCAAAACGACCCTGAGAGTTCACCATACACCCATCAGAATGGCTAAGATCAAGAACTCAAGTGACAACACATGCTGGAGAGGATTTGGAGAAAGAGGAACACTCCTCCATTGCTGGTGGGAATGTAAATTTGTACAACCACTTCATAAATTAATCTGGCACTTTCTCAGACAACTAGGAATAGTGCTACCTCAAGATTCAGCTATACCATTCCTAAGCATATATCCAAAAGATGCTCAAGTATATACCAAGGACATTTGCTCAACCATGTTTGTAACAGTTTTATTCATAATAGGCAGAATCTGGAAATAACCCAGATGCTTCTCAGTTGAGGAATGGATACAAAAATTGTGGTACATTTACACAATGGAATACTACTCAGCAATTAAAAACAAGGAAATCATGAAATTTGCAGGCAAATAGTGGGATCTAGAAAAGATCCTCTTGAGTGAGGTATCCTAGAAGCAGAAAGACACAGGCGGTATATACTCGCTTATAAGTGGATACTAAACCTATAAGATAGGATAAACATACTAAAATCTGTACACCTAAAGAAGCTAAACAAGAAGGAGGTTCCAGGGTAAGATGATCAATCCTCACTTAGAAAGACAAATGGGATGGACATTGGGAGTAAGAGAAACAAGTAACAGGACAGGAGCATACCATAGAGGATCTCTGAAAGACTCTACCCAGCAGTGCATCAAAGCAGATGCTGAGACTCATAACCAAACCCTCAGCAGAGTGCAGGGAATCATATGAAAGAAGGGGGAATTAGTATGACCTGGAGAGGACAGGAGCGCCACAAGGACCAAATATATCTGGACACAGGAATCTTGTCTGAGACTGATTCTCCAACCAAGTACCATTCATGGATATAACCTAGAACCCCTGCTCAGATGTAGCCCATGGCAGCTTAGCATCCAAGTGGGTTTCCCTAGTAAGGAGAACAGGGACTGTCTCTGACATGAACTCAGTGTCCCACTCTTTAACCGCCCCCCTGGGGGGAGGAGCAGCTTTGTTAGGCCACAGAGGAGGACATTGTAGCCAGTCCTAAAGAGACCTGATAAGGTAGGATTAGATGGAAGGGGAGGAGGACCTCCCCTATCATGTACTTAGAGAGGGGCAGGGAGGAGATGAGGTTCAAGGAAGGGTGGAGTTGGGAGGGAATGAGGGAGGGCCTACAGCTGGGATACAAAGTAAATAAATTCTAATTAATATAAAAAATAAAAATAATTAATAAAGAAAAATATATAAAACATTAATACATATACATCTATATTAAGAAAAATCATCTAGAGAAAAAGATACTTTCCAGGTTATGTCTCAGAGAAGCCTGAACTGTCCTGACCAGCCTGATTTTTAACTCTTTCTCATCCCAGAATATAAACTATTCAGGCAGGAAACTACAATACCGTTTCCGGGTACAGTCATTACAGCATGGAAATCATGGTGCCAGACTCTTGAGGTAGCTGGCCAAATTATGTCTTCTGTCAGGAAACAGAGAGTGATAGGTACCTAATTTACTCTGTCTATTTAAATTGGCATACTATGAAGATTTTACAAAACTAAACTATAATATGTGGTCCTCCTATTTGGTTATATTCACTTAGCATAATATTTTCATGATTCATCCATGCTGTATAGCATGCATCAGTATGTCTACTCCCTCATTAAAGAATATTATATTGCTGTGTATATAGGTCATATTTTATTTTTCCAATCATATTTATCAAGGAATTTTATTTGATTATATTGTTTTAGATTTTATGTTCAAGTGTGGGCATTTTCACTCTAAAATCTATAAGTGCATTTTCTTTTTTTTTTCATAATCATCAGCTTTTATTTTACTTTTTAAAAATTCTTTATTAATTACACTTTGCTCACTTTGTATGCCCGCTGTGGTTCCCTCCCTCCTCCCGACCCAATCCCTCCCTTCCTCCACCTTCTGCATGCATGCCCCTCCCAAAGTCCACTGATAGGGGAGGTCTTCTTTTCCTTCCTTCTAATCCTAGTCAATTAGGTCTCATCAGGAGTGGCTGCATTGTCTTCTTCTGTGGCCTGGTAATGCTGCTTCCCTCTCCGGGGGGAGATAATTATAGAGCAGGCCAATCAGTTCATGTCAGAGACAGTCCCTGTTCCTATTACAATGGAACCCACTTAGATACTGAACCGCCATGGGCTACATCTGTGCAGGGGTCTTAGGTTATCTCCATGCATAATCCTTGGTTGGAGTATCAGTCTCAGGAAAGACCCCTGTGCTCAGATTTTTTTGGTTCTGTTGCTCTCCTTGTGGAGTTCCTGTCCTCTCCAGATCTTACTGTTTCCCACTTCTTTCCTAAGATACCCTGGACTCTGCCTACATCCATCAGAATGGCTTAGATCAAAAACTCAAGTGACAACACATGCTGGAGAGGTTATGGAGAAAGGGGAACCCTCTTCCACTGCTGGAGGGAATGTAAACTTGTACAACCACTCTGGAAATCAATCTGGCACCTTCTCAAACAACTAGGCATAGCGCTTCCTCAAGATCCAGCCATACCACTCTTAGGCATATACCCAAAAGAGGCTCAAGTACACAATAAGAACATTTGCTCAACCATGTTTGTAGCAGCCTTATTTGTAATATCCAGAAGCTAGAAACAGTCCAGATGCTCCTCAGTGGAGGAATAGATACAGAAATTGTGGTACATCTACACAATGGAATATTACTCAGCAATAAAAAACAAGGAAATCATGAAATTTGCAGGTAAATGGTGGGATCTGGAAAGGATCATCCTGAGTGAACTATCCCAGAAGCAGAAAGACGCACATGGTATATACTCACTCATATAGACATATAATATAGGATAAACCTACTAAAATCTGTACACCTAAAGAAACTAATCAAGAGGGAGGACTCTGGCTAAAATGCTCAGTTCCTATCCAGAAAGGCAAAGAGGATGGACATCAAAAGAAGAAAACAGGAAACAAGTTAGGAGCCTCCCACAGAGGACCTCTGAAAGGCTCTGCCCTGCAGTCTACCAATGCAGATGCTGAGACTTACGGGCAACTTTTAGGCAGAGTGCAGGGCATTTTCATTTTATATTCTTTGTTGTTTTATTTCATTTTAGAAAGAAAAGAAATTTCTTGTACACTGCAAAGACAGCAGCAGGCATGGCATTAACAGAAGAACTGCCTACTGGGATCTTTGTTGGTATAATGTTCTTTTGGAATGTACAGAATTTACCCTCATTCATTCAAAAGTTGATTTCTCTACCCCACTTTCTCTACCCCGGTTTCAATCCGGACATTGCATTGTGATGCTTATTCTAAGCATCACCTCTCTCATGTTTGTGTAAACATGCCACCATTTGTTTTCTGTATTGTCAATTAAACAACCAGCCCCAATGCTGTGCAATGGAAAGGATAGGGTGGCATCATCCTGGTCCGAAGGGGAAGGAAAGGAAGCCAGGAAGAAAGAGCAGAGAGGTCTGCAGGAGAGGTCTCGAAACTACATGGAGAGATGAACTGAAACTAAGATATGACTAAAAGCAAGTATAATGGGTGAAATCTGAATGGTAGGAAACTATGTCAGCTTGGAGATTTAGGATGGAATAACTATTGCCCAGCATTGTGCTCTAGATTAATTAAATAAATCCCAGTCTCTGTGTGCTGATTTGGGTATACAGCTGGTCTAGGACTAACCGCTGCTTAACTAAAAGATATATCAATAATAAATATTAAATAACCACAACAGATCTTTGATAGTTTCTTTCATATATACATTTGAGACAGGTAAGACTATAATAAATTAGAAATTCACCCTGGTGCTTTGACAGTTGGAGGAGTTAGTGGAACAGACCCTGTAGCCAGTCATTGGCATAAATTATCACATCATTTGAAATTTCAGAAGTAACCCTACTTTTTTCCTCCTTTCTGGATGTCATGTCTAAGGATTCCCCTGCCCATTACCATCTGGCTTACTAGACCTGAGATCTTTTCATTCTCATTGATCATCATACAACACAATTTGTAGCAAATGACCAATTTAGCCTACAACAGCCTATCTCATCTTCCCCCAACATCGGACCCATATGTAGAGTTCATCTGCTTAGAGAACTTCTGAATCGTTACTTAAACCAAAGGCTTAAGCCAAAAGACACAATTGTGCAACTGCAGCTTCCTCTTCCACCCTTTATACACATAGAGCAATCCTCAGGCCTTGTCTGCATTCTCAGCATTTCAGTATCCCACAGGAGTATCCAGCTTAACACTTGAGCTACCGTTGGACAGACCTTCCTTACCACGTTTCACACACTCTACCTTGATCTATCTCATCCAGTTTGAAATTTTTCCACTACCCATATTTCTACAAAAAACTGCAGCAAACTGAAGGCTTTAATTTCTTCCATCTGTTTTTATTTTGCTTTGGGGACAGGGCCCTGCTAGAAGCCCAAGTTGGCCTCACCGTTGACATCATCCTGCCTCAGGCTCCTGAGTGTTGGGATTCTCTGCATGTGCCACCATGCTAAATTGAAGACGTTGAGGGTAATGAAGAGTGCACCTTTTCATTTAAGGGTACATCTGGCAACCAGCCATGGAAAAATGATCACATTTAACAATACCTAATAAGATTTTTTTAGAGACTCTTTATCACTAATGTATAAAATCCTCCAGGAATCACGCCTCTGAGGCCCAACACAGCTACTCACCTCGTTAGTTCTTTTTAGTTGTCCCCCGATGCCCTCTCCTTAAAGTTCCCTTAATGACGATGAGACAAAGACACACTTGCCCAACCCTGGCTTCCTGTTCCACGCCTCTGCAGAAGGAACTGGCCATGACTTGGCAGCTCTGCTTAGTTACTTCATGTTTGCCCACACAAGATGCAGCATTCCTTTTGCTGGGACAAGCTACCCTGACAAAAGCAACTAATGAAGACAGTTGAAGTCCTAAATTCCATCGTGGCAGGGAAAGGGTGGGAGAAGGAGCAGAGGTTACTGGTCACATTTCATCCTCAGTGAAGAAGGAGAAAAAGAAAGAAAGAAGTTGGGCCAGGCTATAAACCCTTCAGGCTGTAACCAAGTACTCATTTCCTCCAGGGAGGCTCCACCTGTTAAAGGTTCCACAATGTGCCCAAAGGGCAAGAAATATCCAAACACAGGAGCTGCCTATAAGGACTAATTTACAATCATGTCATAATAATCAAGAACCAGTACCCTCTACTAACTTTCCATATATATGAACAGCTTCCTTTCCCACTCCATCCTTATGCTCCTCTTCCTTTTATAAAAAAGTTTTATTGCATTGTATTTATTTTGCATGTGCTCACAAGGTATACACGTGCCCCATGGTGGAGGCGTGTGGTGAAGGTCAGATCTCTCCTTCAGCTAGGCAAATCCTCGGTATAGGTCTTTGACAGCTATTGTATTGGATAGTCAATGTCCTTTTCAATTAGTGCACTTGGAATACCATCAAGCATGGGAAATCACTGTCTATTATTTGATTATTTTTCACGTCATTCTTTTTCTACTCTTTTCTCTCTAGTAACCCAATTTGGGGGAAATAAAATTGTTAATTTATATTGTTACCTTTTTTTTCTTCGTATTTTCTCAGTATTGTGCTGATTTCTGGGTTTCTTTACCTGGTGAGACAGGATCTGTCACTGACGTGGGGCCATCCAGCAGAGGTCGGGAAACCTCAAGGCCCACGGGCTGAAGAAGACTGACTCCAGCAGAAACAACTGTCAACAGCTCCCTTCCTACAGGTGGGGCTTGGCTTGGCTGGATTTGGCACAGGCTTGTATGAATAGGCAACCACAGCAACTGTGAGTTCCTGAGGGAAGGACCCTGCTGTGCACAAAACAAGACAAACCCAAGCTGTCCTCTACAGCCTCTGGCTCTTCTGACCGCTTGGCCCCTCTTCTGCAATGGCCCCTGAGTTTGGGAGGAGGAAGTATTCCCTCAGGAATGAGCAATCCATGTCACTTACTGTCTGTACTTTGACCTTGTTGTAATTCTCTGGAATTCTGTTCTTGTTAAGGCCTGAATTTATGTTCATTCCAGACTCCCATTAGCACCTAAGAGCCCTGGGGTGTCCTAGAGAGACACTTGGAAGAAAGGATGTAATCATTGTTGCCAATTGTCAGTTTACATCTTGCTGTTGTCTATCTAAACAAAAGCTGGGGCTAAAGAGATGGCTCAGTGCTCAAGAGCACTGGCTGCTCTTCCAGAAACCAGGGCTCAATTCTCAGCACCCACATGGCAGTTCACAACTGTCTATACTTCTGTTCCAGGGTATCTGACTTCCTCACACATGCAGATAAAACACCAATGTACAAAATAAAAATAAATAAGCTAAAAAAAAAAAAAAAACAAGATCTGGGTGTGGTGGAGCATGCCTATCAGCCAGCACTTGGGAGGTGGAGGCAGGTGGATGAGTTTAAGGCCATCCTCCCTAAACACTGAGTTTGAGGCCATCCCAGGTTATCTGGTGCTCTGTCTCAAAGACCCCTCTACCAGCTGACCGCCCCCCAACAAAAATAATAAGTAAGTCATGTATTATGGTAGCACATGGCTGTGCTTTGAGAACTTATGAGACCAAGGCAAGAAAATGTGAGTTCAAGAGAAATCTGAACTATACTACAAATCTAGATCAGCTACATAGTAAAATCTTTTCTTAAATTGGCTTTTTTGAAACAGGGGTTCTCTGTCACCCTGACTATTCTGGAACTCTCTTTGTAGACACAGTAAAATCTTGTCTCAAACAATTTGAGGGCTATAGCTATAGCTCAGTAGCAAAGTGCTTCTCACTCTTGGGCAAGGTCTTCAATTCCAGGTCAAACATCTTACAGAGGAAATATAGGAAAACCAAGAATTTTGGGAGTAGGTCAGCGGTTTAGTGTGTACTTAGCAATCATGGCACCTCGATTCAATCTCTCTCTCTCTCTCTCTCTCTCTCTCTCTCTCTCTCCCACACACGACATAGAACTAAAACAAAAAGAAACAACAAACAACTGAAGAAGAACAGGCAAATTTGAAGGTTCATGTAGATGTGTGTGTGTGTGTGTGTGTGTGTGTGTGATTGTGTGTGTGTGTGTTTGGTAAAAGGACAGTGAACTGAAAATCAGGACTGTGTTTGCCCCTGGATGAGGAGGACAGCATCAACCAGGACAAGGGAGTGGCACATTGGCCTCTAAGGCATTGGGAGACCTTGACTTCTTGACTTTAGCGCTCAGCTCCTAGGCTTTATTGTTATTGTCCTTTCAACCAGTTACATAAGTACAGTAGATACGCATTACATATGCTAGTTTTAATTAAAATAAAACAAAGTTTGTTGATAGATTCTAGAACAGGTTTTAAGTACAAGCAAATTGTCTCCCACCTTGCCACACAGGGATTAAGAAGGCCTCTATTTTTTCAACAATTCCACATACAAAGAAAAAAAGTGGGGCCTGAAAAATGTCTCCATGGGAGAACAGTCACTATTCCTGCAGAGGACTCAGGTTTGCACCCAACACCCATATCAGGCAGTTCACAGCCTCCTGTAACTCAGTTCTAAGGGCTTTGATGCCCTCGTTCTGACCTCTGTGGGCACCAGTCATGCAAGCAGTGCACAGATATACATGCAGACAAAACACCCAAAAGTCAAATACTTTAAAAAGTAAAAGAAAAAGAAAAAAGTGACCACTGCTGTAACTCATCTTCTAACTTCATCTATCTATCTATCTATCTATCTATCTATCTATCTATCTATCTATCTATCTAAGTTGAGGATAACTCTTGCTATGTAGTTCTGGGCTGGTATGAAACATGTGATTTTAGAAGGAAGGGGAGCAAGGAGAACTAGAGGGAGATACGAAAAGGTAATGGGAAGCTGGTGGTGAGCATGATTGAAATAAACTGTAATATATATAATAAACATGTAAAACATAATCTATATATATGAAATGTTATTGTATATAATTAATGTACACTAATAAAACATTTTTAAAGAAATTTTTAAGGATTTGGGATATTATTCCTGTTCCATCTCAAGACCAGATGATTACTTAAACCTTTACATTTTAAAGTTTAACAATTGTCCTTAGATGCTGACAAAATCCAACATCCATTCATGTTTAAAGTCCTGGAAAGATAAGGGATACAAGGCACTTACCTAAACATAGTAAAGGCAATATACAACAAGCCTATAGCCCACATCAAAATAAATGAAGAGAAACTTAAATCAATCCCACTGAAATCAGGAACAAGGCAAGGCTGCCCACTCTTTCCATATCTCCTCAACATAGTTCTTGAAGTCCTTGCTAGAGCAATAAGACAAATAAAGGAGATCAAGGGAATACAAATTGGAAAGGAAGAAGTCAAAGTATCACTATTTGCAGATGATATGATAGTATACATGAATCACCCTAAAAATTCAACCAGAGAACTCCTTCAACTGACAAACACCTTCAGCAAAGTGGCCGGATACAAATTTAACTAAAAAAAAAAAAAAAAAAATCAGTAGCCTTCCTGTATACAGAAGACAGAAAGAAATTAGGGAAACAACACCCTTCACAATAGCTACAAAGGACATAAAGTACCTTGGTGTAACTTTAACCAAGCAAGTCAAAGACTTGTATGAAAAAAAAACTTCCAGTCTCTGAAAAAAGAATTAGAAGAAGATATCAGAAGATGGAAAGATCTCCCATGCTCATGGCTTGTCAGGAATAACATAGTAACACTGGCCATCTTACCAAAAACAATCTAAAGACTCAATGCAATTCCCATCAAATTACCAACAAAATTCTTTACAAACCTTGAAAGAAAAATTCTCAACTTCATATAGAATAACAAGAAACCCAGAATCGCTAAATCAATCTTCTACAATAAAAAATCTTCTGGAGGTATCTCCATCCCTGATCTCAAGCTGTAATATTGAACAACAGTAATAAAAACTGCATGGTCCTGGGGCAAAGAAACAGGCTGGAGGATCAATGGAATTGAATAGAAGACCCAGAAATAAACCCACACACTTATGGACACCTGATCTTTTACAAAGATGCCAAAACCATACAATGGAAAAAAGATAGCATCTTCAACAAATGGTGCTGGTCTAACTGGATATCTACAGTAGAAAAAATGCAAATAGATCCATACTTATCACCCTGCACAAAACTAAAGTCCAAGTGGATCAAAGACCTCAACATAAAACCAGACACATTAAATCTGTCAGAAGAAAAAGTGGGGAAGCATCTTGAGCTCATTGGCACAGGAGATAACTTCCTGAACAAAACATCAGCAGCACAGGCTCTAAGATCAACAATCAATAAATGGAACTCATGAAGCAAAGGACACTGTCATCAGAACAAAACAACAGTCTACAGATTGGGAAAGGATCTTCACCAACCCTTTAATCTGACAGAGGGCTAATATCCAGAATATATAAACAACTCAAGAAGTTAAACAGCTTTTGTTTAACAGAAGTTAAACAAATCAAGTAATCCAATTAAAAAATGGGGTACAGAGCTAAACAGAGAATTCTCAATAGAGGAATATTGAATGGCAGAGAAACACTTAAAGAAATGTTCAACATCCTTAGTCATCAGGCAAATGCAAATCAAAACAACACTAAGATTTCACCTTACACCCATCAGAATGGTTAAGATCAAGAACTCAAGTGACAAGACATGCAGGAGAGGATATGGAGAAAGGGGAACCCTCCTCCACTGCTGGTGGGAATGTAAACTTGTACAACCACTTTGGAAATCAATCTGGCACTTTCTCAGACAATTAGGAATAGTGCTACCTCAAGATCCAGCTATACCACTCCTAGGCATATATACAAAAGATGCTCAAGTATACAACAAGGACATTTGCTCAACCATGTTTGTAGCAGCTTTATTCATAATAGCCAGAACCTGGAAACAACCAGATGTCCCTCAGTTGAGGAATGGATACAGAAATTGTGGTACATTTACACAATAGAATTAAAAACAAGGAATTAAACAGCAATTAAAAACAAGGAAATCATAAAATCTGCAGGCAAATGGTGGGAACTAGAGAAGGTCATCCTGAGTGGC